GCACTGTATTGAGGGATAAGTGTGATTCTTCTTACAGTGCTGGACCTCCTTCACAAATACACCTTCTTTTACTCTGTCCTCTCTTGGAGCAAAAATGACTGCCATTGTGCAAGGTACCTCCTTTTAATAGCATGGAACTTTTCCATAGATGTTATTTTCTTTGTGATACTACTTTCAAAGAAAAGCTTATGGAATTTTGGGTTATGCAGGATGGTAACAGGTAAAGGCAAAATATCTATATAAAGAGAGAGCAAAGTGTATAGAAGGTATTACTTCTGTATGGGAGCTTAACTGTAGTACCGTGACCTGTGTTAGCACATAACTTTATAAACTGATGTTTTTATTCTTGCAGGACCCTGCAAGATGTAGGGGTAGCCTGAAATAATCCTTATTTTTCAACTCAAAACTCAATTTTCCCAGCAATGTAGAGGTACCTGAATTCTTCTGCTCAAAGAAAGGAGAAAACGAAATGGATTGCCGGGAAGAGGTGGGATGAATGAAAGGAGTTTAGGAGAACCAGAGACGCCCAAGAGAGCATGGGGAGAATTATAGGGAAGAGGGTAGGGTAGGGTTAGGAGTAGGAGCCTCTTCCTTAGTGCCTCTAAGTTTGCCTTGCCAAACCACCCAGTCTTCTGAGCTTGGGACTTGGAAGCACCCTTCTTCTCTAGTGAAGTGATGTTTTTAAGGAAGGGGAAATAACTGGTTCTTTACGCATAAGTACTCAAGAATGAAAACAGTCACTTCTGTAAACCTGTGAATTAATGTTCTGCCTTTTAAAAAAAAAAATTTAAGAGGGTAATTTCTCAATAAAGATATATTAATGTAATAAGCTATCAAGAAATGAGAAAGGATTTTGCATTTTGTATGTGGGCCTGAATAAATAGATCCATTGAGAGACAGACAGCACAAGTCACTTGGAATGTCCCAGTCAACAGCAGAAATGTAAACATACTCCAGCTACACTCTCTGCGCTTGTATTTCAATGTGTCGCAGAACAAAACTATTAATGCAGGCTGACTGCTGCTCTTGTTGAATTTGGTAGTGAGTTCCTTACAAAATCCATTTTAATTCACAGACTGTGGATCAGAACCATATTGCATCCAACACTCTGGAACCCAGGAAGGCAGGAACTTGCTGCAAAGGAGTCTCTGGTCCATCTTAAAATGAGGTGTATTAAGTTGGCTTGCAGAGCTGAGTAGGTTTACAGTGACAGCAAGTGAATAAAATGCTGAGGCCAACAGATCTTTGTCTCTGTGTTCCAATGTGTTCATGAAACCTTACCTCACAGATAGGTGGATCTACCCTGTATTTATCTTCATCCAGTATCGTATCAATCCTAATGAAATAGCATCCGCTGAGACTGTTGCTTCGTGTATTATGATAATTATAGAGAGCCACTATCAGAATCTGTTAGAATCTTAGCCTTTAAAAAGTAGCATGTTGCTGGAAAAAAACTGTGTAAAAATCAAACACAATTCAATTGATTGTGTTGAAACCAGACTTACTCTGGCAGCCGTAGGGGAACAGTATTAATTAGTTTATGTTTAAAGACAAAATAACTTCCTCATTAAATCTCTTGATGGGTTTTTGTTTGGTTTTTTTTGGTCATCATGATAAAGTGAATGTCACCAGACCTGATGGTGTGAAGTCATAGTTGTTTTTATTCCTGGACGTAAAAATATGGTTTATTTGTGGGGAGTGTGTAACAGCGATACTAAGAAGGAAAGTTTAATCACAAGCAGAGGTATGTAAGATCTATGCTCGAAGAGGCTCAGCTATTTGGAAAGCAGGTCTGACAGGCAGGAATCTTTAGCTTGTGCTGGTGTAATCTCCTGGTCTATAGAATGTCCTTGACTATAAAAAGCTTCTTATGGCATTTTTTGTCTCATGTCTCACACATTTTCTTTTGATAGGGCTTTGAGGGACCTCAAAAAGCAGCATTAGATGCTGACCTGAATGCTGAAATTCCCTTGCCTAGATTTCTGCACTTCACATGTTTCCTTGCACCTTTTACAGGGCCTTCTTATTTGTTGTTGAGTAAGTCACTTCTTTCTTCAGCTGCAGGTTTATTATAGGGTCAAAGGAATTATTATAGCATCTTGCCCTGTCTTATGATTGCAAGGTACTGCAAATGTGTTCCTTTGGCACAACAGAGACAGTACAGTATGGTCAAATCAAACTCTGAACAATAGCTTCCTTACATATTTAAAAATAAAAGATAAATATTGGTTTCATAATGCAGACAAACCTTAATTGCTGAATGTTTATAGCAAGTTTTGAGATGGTCAGAGGCAAGGTCCTGTGCAAGTGCAGTATTTTATTAAAATATTTAATAAGCAGATTCTCTGACCCAGTAGAGGGAACAAAGATGCCTGTCCACTCTTAATTTTCCCTACCCATAATTATTTCTACAGAACATAAATTACATATTGTATAGCTTTATTCTGTTTTCAGAGGATAATTATACTAGAAATTCCAGCCTTCTTTCTGTGGAGGGACCTCTTTCTCAGAAACCACACCTTGTACCACTCTGTTTTTCATTTAAGAAGGGTTGAATTCCCATTTATGTCAACAAGTTTTTATAGATTGACTACTTTCAAAAGATGGATACAGGTAAAATGGGAAGCCCTTATTCACAAATCATAATAGTTCAGTCTGGAAGATGTATTGGAAGCTGATGAAATAGGAGTGGAAGCTTTTTTGCATGTGAAATCTGTTAGAGATTACTCCTAATTTCATGCCTCCTATCGTAACTGAGAGAAGAGCCTGTAATTCCTATTGTACTCATCAGAGCATCTCCAGTGGTATCTGCATGCTGAGGGGGAACTTAGACTTGGTTGCAAATGAGGCAAGGCAGGATACAAAACAGACAGTAACATTTGCTCTGTGTATGAGATTAAAGGCTTTTATGGATATATTTACATGAGCATTTAAGGAGTTTAATAAACTGAAAGCCAGGGTCTTAAAGTAAGGTTCACAACCCACTTGTAACATACCAAGAGGGACAAGTCTTTCATTCTCCGACACTAAGGACTGATGGACCCAGTATACTACTGAGACTAAGAGCAAACTACTGTTTGAGAAATGTGGCAACTTAGTAGTAACCTAATAGTCCTGCTTCACTGTTTTTGACATGCACAAGTAGCAAAATTCTGTTCCCATGTGAGTAATTTTAGTATGGGGGTAGCGGCAAGGAAACTGAATTCTGTTTAAAAAAAAAAAAATCCTGTTCAAGTCTTACTTCTGGAAAAGTTTGTTTGTTTTTTTATGTATCTGTGGTACACTCAAGGCTTTTTTTTACCATTGCATATGCAAAACCCAGACCTGCAGAACTGTTCCATGTGGTGAACAGTCTGCTGAACCCAGACTGTTTTGCCTGAGTAGCAGATTTCCATATACCTCATTATGAATTTGGGTTTTTTTGATTTATGTAGGCCCTGTTCCTTCAAAGGGATGTACAATTATAGACCTTTATACCTACCAAAGTGATATCTTATCAAGTGCTGAGGAAAATACAAGGGCAGGTCCCTCTGGGGAATAAGAGCCTTCGTTTACAGAGAACTTTCTTTCCAGGCAGTTTAATCTTTCATGGAAACAGCATGTAAACAGGAGGCCACAAAGTAACTTAGCTTTTAAAGCTTTTTAATTGTACCCAGCAAGGTTCTGGATGTTTAGTGAATGATTTAAGTCAGTCTATAATGCAAATTCATATCCCTTTTGATTGGTAAAAGACTGTAATTAAGATCTAGGTCAGTACTGCTACAAGAAAGTAGCATGGACTTTAGCTGGTTATTGCCTTATACAACCTGATTTAAATAAAAAGCGCTAGATCCTTCCACACCAAATAAGCCGTTGTCCTTGGCAATAGCAAGCATGCTTCAGTTTTCCTTCCTGTGATAAAGGCAATTGATTAAAGTGCCTAAATGCATCTTTGAATATATTTTATTTCTGTGTATTCCTACCATTCAGATTTCCAGTCTGTACATAGACAGAGTTAATAACTTTGTTCATATTATTTCCTTCTGGGGGTGAACAAAATCATAGCATCAGGGAATACAATCATAAAACAATGCAGGCTGGAGAGAACCTCTGGAGGTTATCTGGCCAAGGCCCTCCTCAGAGTAGGGCCAGCTTAGGTCAGCATGCTCATGGCAATAGTTCAGCTGAGCTTTGAGCACCTCTGAGGACTCAGATTCCCCAGCCCCTCTGGGCCTGTCTTCCTGTATCTTATTGTGAAAATGTTTTTCCTAATAGCTGACCAGAACCTCCTTTGTTGCAACATGTCTGTATTGCCTTTCATCCTGTCACTGTGCACTTTGGAGAAGCCTCTGGCTCCATCTTCTCTATATTTTTCCATTAGATGATTGAAGGTATCAGACTGCCTTCAGTAACAATATGCCTTCAACTCCTCCCCCCCAGTGTTCTCTTAAGACTGAACAAACCCATTTCTTTCAGCATCCTCCCTTGCATCGTGTGCCTAATAATCTTTCTGGCCCACTACCCCCTTGATCTAGTAGGTTAACATCTGTGTTGCATTGGGAGGCTCAAAACTGGAGGAGATGGCATGATGACATTTGCGTCTGGCCATCTGTTACTCCCCAGTCCAAATTATTTTGCTGCTGCTTGGCTGGTTTGACTGAAGGTGGCTTTTTCAATAATTCAAGACTCAAAGTCCTCTCCTCCTGCAATAACAAGATAACTACAGTGCTCCACACCTTATTGATGAGGGCTAAGCAACAGAACTGTTTACAACGAAAAAGCTATTTCGTGAGAGAATACTTTGCGTTAGTGATACTCTTGATTAAAGTAGTTTAATTACAGTGGGTCATGGTATAACCAGTTTTTATAGATGGAATCACTCAATACTTTTTATATCACCACAGCATAAAATACACTTCCTCGTTGTGGCCCTCTGACTTTAAGCATAGGGAAATAGAAATCACTTTCAAATCCCAGGGACTGTACATATAATGTACTGTTAAATTAACTTCTGTTTCTAGTGCACTTGGAGGATCATCTGCCCTTCACATCCCAGCCTTTCCTGGTGGAGGTTGTCTTATCGACTATGTACCTCAAGTATGCCAGCTGCTAACAAACAAGGTAAGGGGTAAAGAGAACTGAATTTTCCGTGCCCTTATGTGCTGTGCTGTGCTGTACTGTATTGTAGGAACACAGTATAGCACTTCCATAAGCGTAGTTTTTCTTCTGTCAGGTAGTCCAAGCAGGTCATACTTCAGGTGAACTACGCAAAGAATACCTCCTTGACAAGAGTTGAGCACCTACACAGGACATTGAATAGAATTACTCCTTTAGGTAAAGCAGCATGTTTGGAATCAGGTCGTAGAGTGGATTTTTTTTGTTGTGACATGTTGTGATTTAGGATAAAATGTTTTTGTGTTGTACGACACTGTGTTGTAGCATACTACTTTGCTAATAAATACAAATGAGTAGTTTGCATATTATTTTTTCCAGTTGGAAGATATCTAAGTTCTCATACCATAGTCATCATTATAGGTTTTGAGTATTTTCAGTAACTTTGTTCTCAAATGTTTCGTCCAAATGAACTGAATCAGCAGTCTACTTGGATGTTTATATAGTAGTAGCTATTTAAGGTTGCTGAAAAGTTTGTGTTCCGGTTAGCTTACTGTTTAAACAAAAAAAGGGTGAGTATAGTGTTTTGAAAGCTTCTCCATTATTGAAGTGTAATTTTCAAAAGAAAGTTTAGGGGCCAACATCTAGGAGTCTGCCTATTACAGATCTTCTATTTGTATTTGTATGTTATTTTTACCTTCAATTGTCCAAATGAGGAAAATAATTTTCTCTTTTAGAAGAAATTCTACAAAATGTGTTTCTATAATTATATTGGAATCTATCTTTAGAATTGTTTTTGTTGTGGTTTTCTGTTAAAATTACTTTCTGTTTTTAAAATCTGCAAGTACACGGGACTGTTTTTATCCTTTCTTAAACAAAGTCCCTTAAGCAAACTTATCGTATGTTTTCCTTTTCCCAAAATAACATTTCAGATTCTACACAAAGCCTTCAAAATATTAATAGTTTTTTTATAAAATAAGTTTCAATTTAGAAGTAAAATTTAACTTTAAGGGGTACAGGATAGCTCTCAGCAATGACTGCATCAAGGATTTTTCAAAAAATTAGCAAAGCATTTGCCAGACAAGGAATTCTATAGCCAAGAAAAATATTCTTCATGTTCTTTTTGTGTTCAGTGTGGAAAAAAAAGTTTTTAAAATGTTAGTTTTCAGTCTGGAAGGCAAGGAGATTTACACAGGGAATCACATATGGAACCATACCGTAAGTACTTTAAGTAACCAGTTGTAAACCAGATGTTCTTGCAGCCTGACAACACATGCATTGTTTCTCTTATGGGTCAAACCATGTTCACACTGTTCTGCTAAGTAATCCCATTCAGATCGATAAGAAAACATACGTGGTGCAAGGAGAGTCCTGCCTTAAGTCTTACAAGTTTAACATTGTTGGCTTTTGTCTGTGCCAGGATGGAAGTCTTTCAAAACCCAGAATGCTTCAGAAATTGGTGCTCGCTGTTGAGTAGGTGGCACCCTGAGTCAGCATGAAACCACTGAGAGAGCTTAGTGTTAAGAAGATTTTGTTGGAGGTGCAGTCTTCAGAAAACACCCAACATCAGTTGTGAAATATATATCTTTTTCTTTTGTTTTATAACCAGAGTGTTATTTTGACACTTAACCAACTCAGTTCAGGTAATTATGATTTGCCTGTCGTGGTTTCCTGCTCAAACTTCAGCAAAGCAAGATCGCGCATTTCTTCACTCTTTATCTTGTGCAGTTAAACAGCGCTTCAATGTATTGTGAAAGACTAAGTTTCACTCAGAAGTGAGTGAAGGGATTTCTTTACAAGATTTTCTGTGTGCAGGATCCACTGTTTGTTTTAAAGGCATTTTAGGATTCTTTAGGGAAATCATGCGAGCTAAATTTAGGATTCAGAACTAATGCTGTGTCAAACATAAATCCTCCTTAACAAGGAATATATGACAAATTGGAAGCATTGGCTTTTTTTGTCTTTTTATGGCTCTGTATTTGGTTTTTTTCTTTCTTTTTCTAAGGTACAATATGTTATTCAGGGATACCATAAGAGAAGAGAGTACATCGCAGCTTTCCTGAGTCACTTTGGAACGTAAGTTTTCTTTTGATGCATTATTTTGTGTAGTATGGGGGAAGGTGGTGTTTCCTGGTGCGTGGTCTTTGCTTGTGTGACTGCTATCGACTGGATAAGATGAAATCTGGTCATTTGTCACAGAATGATGTGTATAGATTGTCTCTCTGTAGCAGTACTGGAATTAAGTTAGCATTACTTCACTTCTGTGCCACTTGCCGATCTGATTTTACTAGAAAATAGTAGATGATGGGAAAAGAACAGTAGGGATTTTCTCCTTGTGCAAAAGAAATGTGCTCATTTCTCAGTAAATGACCGGTGGGGACTTGCAGTAATAGGCAGTGACTGAGGTGGGAGGATGGGAAAGTGGTTCCAAGTCTGGTTACAAGCCTTGCAGGAGCCAGAAACCACCGCTCGGCATAAAGGCAGGACTGAGAGAGCAGCTGCTCCCACCACCAACCAGTATCTTGTCCCTTGAGAGAAAGGGCTTTTGGGTCATGTTGAATTCCTGCAGTTCAAAGGTCTGTGGCTTGGCATGATGGCACTTTAGCTTCAGAAATCAACTAATCAGGGCTGCCCTGGCACTGTGAAGGGTAGGCACTTTGGTTTCCCACCTAAATCCTGACTTAAGCAAGAGTCCAGGGCTGTTGCGACAGTGATTGCCTGACCAGCAGTGCTTTACCTCATTGTCAGAAGGTTTCTGCTTCTGAGTGGTGATGTCAAATGACATGGATATTCGGGAGCCCTTGAGATCTCAGGTCTCTCAAGTGAGGTTAGGAAGTCAGGTGGCTTCTAGCATGCACCCAAATTTTATACAACTATAGATAGGTAAGAATGAATTGAATTGGACACATGAGTAGATAGAGTTGATGCAAGCTCAGTCCTTATGAGAACAGGATATTATTATTTTAGCCTGGAGAAAAGAAAGCTCCAAGGACACCTTATAGCAGCCTTCCAGTACTTCAAGGGGGATACAGGAGAGATGGGGAAGCACTCTTTATCGGGGAGTGTAGCAAAAGGACGAGAGCTAACGGTTTTAAGCTGAAAGAGCATAGATTTAGATTAGATATAGGGAATAAATTCTTTACTGTGAGTGTGGTGAGACACTGGAACAGGTTGCCCAGGGAAGCTGTGGATGCCCCATCCCTGGAGGGGTTCAAGGCCAGGTTGGATGAGGCTTTGGGCAACCTGGTCTAGGGGAGGGTGTCCCTGCCCATGGCAGGGGGGCTGGAACTAGGTGATCTTTAAGGTCCCTTCCAACCCAAACCATTCCATGATCCTATGGTTACTTTTTCTTCTGACAAAACTACAGTATAGAGATGGCCCAGCTGGGCCTATCATTTTATTTCAGTTGTGGAGTCTTTCATGAGTCCTGATACTGCTTGAGACTTTTAGAGAATACGAACTCCTATTAGTTGAAACTTTTAATCCATCTACTAAGCAAATCTATATTTAGTTTTTTGTCTGCTCTTGTGCTTTGCTTTTGTTATGTATAGTCTTTTAAATTTTCAAATTCAAACTGTCCTCAGCCTGCGCATTTTCAGTTTTACCCTGTCACTTACTACAGAGTTAGATTATCTTAATCAGAGTAACATAGAGGGAATTCACGTGTATACAGTTGTTATCAATTTAGTTCTGCAGATGCATTAGCAGTTCTCCTTTCATTCTAAAGTGTATTTATATAAAATGTGTATGGCTTTTCTTCAGGTAAGAAGCTCCAATACTACAGCATAAATAAGAAGCATATTAAGATTAAAGTTTAATCTAGTTTTCATTTAGCTAGAAAATTGTAACTGTTAATAAATAAAGCAAATACTGGAAGTTTCTGAACAAACAATCAAAAAACCCACTTTCTGTTATACAGAATTTACTTATTTATCATTCAGAATTAGAACGAATGGTAGGTAAAAATTGTATTCTTTTTTTTTTTTTTAATTGTTTGTTGATAGTGGCGTGGTGGAATATGATGCAGAAGGCTTCACAAAGCTTACTCTGTTGCTGATGTGGAAAGATTTTTGCTTCCTTGTTCACAGTGAGTAACTCTTTGCCTCAGGCATAAATGTCTATACTCTTGAAAGATACAAGTTCAAAAGGGAAAAAATACAATTACAGGAAACAATTTTAAAGTTTTAGCTATTTTTATCCAGTACTTAATGTATTTTTGATGTGACCGTGACACTTCAAAACCAGAAAATCCTAATTGTATTTGGAGAAGGGGAGAGGATCCACGTCAATAGTGTACTGACTGCTTTACAGAACTCCAGAAATCTCCTGGGGAGGTTTTCTGGTAATATGACTCGAGATTAAGTTCACAGTTGTAACTTGTCCTTTCAAAAGGGTCAGTAATGAGGACCAATACTATACATAACTGGGAATACCTAAATCTTCTGTAATTGTCAGGAATTAATGCTTTGATAGAGATTATAAAGACACTTTAGTGTAGGAAAATATATTAAATGAGAGATAATACTATACTGCATTAGGAGACAGAAGTTATTCCTAGACTGAAACTGTGTAGGCAAAACTGTCTTAACAGTTTGCTATGTTATGTAGCTAAATTTACTGTTATTTGAAATTTTTAGATCAAGATTGTATTACTTTGAAAAAAAGGCATTCTTAATTAAACAAATATGTAGAAATTACTTCATGTAGAAATTAGTAAGTGTGGCTTTGTTACTGCCTTATACCTGTTAACTTAAGTTGCAATTCTTATTTTTCCCTATAGTAAGGTGAAATTCACAGGTATCAAAGAGATTTTGGTCTGTGGAAATTCGGTGGTGTTGCCCTTTATTTTTGATTGTTACGTTTCTCATCTTTGTTTAAAATAATCACAGTGCAATCTGGGCAGCTGCAACATTGGTGTTTGTTGACATTCTAACACTGGAAGATTTCAGATGATGTCTTTTTTGATTGTGGGCTAGCTTTTCACGTGGAAAACTAATAATGTCTAAGTGACATCAGAGAAATTTGCCCAGAGTTTTTAAAGCAAGAAGTGGGGATTGCCATTGTTCAGAGGAGTCCTTAATCCTGTGTTGTATTGGAGATAGTAGAAAATGGTCTCACTGATCCATTTCTTTTTATCACCTAAGATTTCCAGACAGTAATGACCATAAGAGGTCTAGAAATCTGGAACCTGAAATTAAAAAACTTCCATCATTTTAGCATTATTTATGTTGGGGGAAAAAATAAATAACTGATATTTTTAGAAAAATTGTCCTCGTTACATCCTAACTTGCTCTTCAACTACAATTGTAAATTGCTCACTGGGCTATTGTCTTCTGTGAGATGATGCTTCTTTATGTGTAACCTCTTGAAGATTTCCTACCTTTTACTGCCCAATATGTTTGGCTTAATTTTATCTGTGTTAAAATTCCTGTGTATGTTATTTTTGCAACGGGAATAAAAATTCAAATTTCTGTTAAATAACAGAGTAGGTTTTAACTGTGTAATATTCAGAGCACTCCTTTTAACTGGCATGAAAGCTACAATTATAACTGAATAGTTTATCACTATGTATTAACCCTGTGGCCTTAGAAATCATACAGTGGGTTAGCTGTGTAAGCCATTGCATCACCCACTTGTTGAACAGTCCACTGTAAAAACATTTATGTTCCATGGACTAAAGGATATTGCAATGAAAGGACCGAAACCTGCACTTCATTTCCTGAGTGAAGTAATGTAGGCTTTCATCTCTTAACCACTGACATAACTATGTATATTATGGTTGAATATTTAGCAAGCATCTAATAAAATGTCTGGGAGAGATATCCGTAAGTTGAAAACTCTTCTACTTTGTGTTTACTATAGCATGTAGAGAAAGTATTCAGAGAAGAATGAGTAAGTCAGTATACAGCAAGCACCATGGCAAATCAAATGAAGGGAACCAAAGCAAATTTTACTGTCATCTTAATTGTGGTTAAAACTTTAGGTTTAATTGAGATTGTGAGATATATAAACCATAACCTGAGTTGTATTTCCTTTAAAAGATGCATTCAGAGATTTCAAAAATAACTTTGGCATCTTTTTTGCAACTATTTGCATTCAAAGTTACAAACTTGTTTGGAAACTAGGAAGCAAAACACATTAGAAATAAAGTGAAATTTTTCAGAGTAGTTTTATTCAGTAAACTGGGTTAAAGATAAGACAAGAGAAATGGGAAAGTAGTTCTGGGTTGCCAAAGCCCAATAGCCTCAGAACAATTTCACTTGCTAAAAAATTTGATTTGTGCTGTAGTTACAGAATGAAGAGCAAAGCCTACCCACTCTACCTTAAACACAGAAGAGCTAAAACTCAGAAGAGCTACCTAATTGCAGACTTAATTATTAGATTAATCTAGCTGCTGAAGTTGTTATATTAGATCAAAGAGCAGTCAAAGGAGCTGTTGCTTTAGTGGTTTAGTTTTAAGTATTAATCAAGTGCTTTCAAATATATGACAGAAAAAATAAACATTCAGAGATGTTAATGCATCCACATGGAAGAGGAAATTGTTAATCAGGCTTAGTGCTTTTGATCTTGATACTGTTTATATGTAAGTCTCAATATGAACCTTTGCAAGTAAACTTCAATATACTGCTGATTTCTTTCTCTTCTTTTTATAAATCAGCTATGATTAGTTTTGGGTGATAGATATTTCTTCATATTCTTGTTCCTGCATACATTCTGTGTATTTTTAACATATAGAAATGTAAAGAAAAGTTACATTATCTGTGCATAATTAAAAATTAAGTAGCCTTATCGGTATGGACACAAGAATAGAACTCTAAATCAACCTATATATAGGCTTTTCAAATATTAATTATTATCTTACAAGATTTTTAGGTTATCAGTGCAAAGAAGATTGACAGAAGTTGGACTGGTTACAATACCAAATGAAACACTGCTTGTGTTAGTGGTTATCTGTTTAAGACACCTTGAAAAGAACAGATATTAAACTAAAAAGGTTTTATTTGATTGAACAATATTTCGGGGTAGGGAGAATGGTGGAAGCTGCCAGTATTTGTATCTTAAGCTTGTACAGGATCTCAGACTTAGGTGAAGTTGGTGGGAACACTTGCTGCCACTGACCTCGGCTAACTGTAAGGGGTTTCAGGTTCTACGTTGGATAACCCAGGAGGTCCAAAGTGCTGGTCATGTGAAAGCTAAAGTTTAATTAACCAGCCTTCTTGCTATGGGAGTGCCAACTGAAGTAGCTTTTTGTCCACCCTCTTACCTGTCTGTGCAGTTATGTGGTTACCTCTGTCAGAGAATAGATCAGAAATAGGCAGAACCTCAGAAAGAAGGAGGTTTTTACACAGGCAGGAGAAGCAAGCAAGGGGCCTAGAACATACTTGGGTTTTAGAAGGTTATACCTGTGAGTGTCAGGCTTTGGGCAAACACTGGCTTCTAGATTGAGGGTGTTTGATGAAAGTCATCAGTGCCAACTCCTGATGCACTCCTGTTTGGGTATCGCTATCTGCACGTGTTTGTCAGCAGAGCAATATGTGCCGATGCAGTCAACTTAAGTGGTTTGAATTGATGGCCTGAGCTAAACAGCTGGGGTTCATCACATAACTCTCTTTTCTATCTGGATTAGATATCTGTCCACAGTCTCATAAAGCAGCTTGGAAAATAAAGACACAAATAAAGAATTTTTGGTAGCCATGTTTGTCAGATGAGGCTTGGGAGGAGGGGGAAAAAAGTAGGACATTTCGGGAAAGAACATCAGTAGCTGGGAAGAGAAACTTACACTACTGTGCAAAGAAGGTGCAGTTTATTCCAGTAGCATTCAGAGAAAGAAGAATGTATGCCCACTCACTGTGAATAGACAGAAATGCATTGAAGAAGTCATTCCTTCTATCAATTCCCTTTCCAAGCAGTAATAACGCATTAGGCTTCCAATATTGTTTTAATTATTCAGTGGAATAATCCTTAGAACTTTGGTAAATGTTAATTTTTCAGGCATCTGGTGCAGCTTAAGATGTTACCTGCCCTTTAAAGGAGATTTCCCCCCCTCTGGAAAGTCAACAGGACAGAGCTAATGGGTGTTGGTCAGCCCCTTCATCTATTCCTCCAGCAGCTGTTTGAATAAACAAGTTAGACTTTGTGGTAGTAAATGGCTAGCAAGGAGGTTTGGTAAAGTCTTGAATGGAAGGTTTTTCCTAGATTAACACGTATCTGATTGCTTAGTGTTTGCTATTTGAGTTTAGGAGGCCTTATGTGAGAAGGTAAAAGTATTTTCTTTCATCTAAGACTGTATTTATTGTCCTTTTTGAAATTGCTTCTGCAGATTCCTATTTGAAAAATCACATGCCTGCCACACTAACTCCACCACTCACTGAGATAATAAAAAAATGTTTAAGAAATAATTTGTTTATCCAAGCAATTTGGAACCCAGAACATGAGACTGTTTTGTGTAAACATTCCTGTAAATATCTCAGTAAACCTCTATCTGCCTGTAGTTTTGGCCATAGAGCCCTCTCTATTATATAGGACCTATAGATCTTCTTACATGTTACTGTGAGAAGTAACTAGTGCTGGTTGTTTTGAAATAGTATTTAATGCAGTTGGAATATGCTCAGTGACTCCTGTGTGCCACTGGAGTATGAATAACCATTTGAGTGGGGTTGGTAGTTTTACAGATACTTTTTTTTTTTTTTTCCAGTCTTCTGTAATATAAGACTTGTGCACATACCTTTCGGAAGCTAAAAAGAAGATAGCCTTCAAGAGTTGCTCTTCTTCATCAATATCAGTGCCTGGCAGTCATCCCAATTAACACTTAAAAATCCAGGAAAAAAAATCCGGGGGGGGAATTAAAATTACATTGGCTCTATTTCTTCAGGGACATTAGCCTGATTATGAAACAGAAGTCTCTTCAAGAAAAGGTATGGGAAAATAAACTGTTGTCTGCCCGAGTCATTTTTCTAAAAAAGGGCTAACTGTTGAGCGGAATATTTACATTAGATCGCTTCTGTGAGCTTTTATCTGATGAGGTGTTTTGGCTTCCTTACATAGTGGGTTTTTTTGACGCTTCTCATTGTTCCTTAAATGAAAACA